TCTTCTGGATAAACCGTCTGCGTTACCATGCATTTTTCCAGCACGATGTTGGATGGTAAAGTGATACTGTTGGAGCTTCTCGAGCCATCGTGCTATTTGACCTTCAGGTTGTTTCATCTCCATAAGCCACTTGAGAGCCGCATGATCTGTCCTAATTAAAAATTCTTGGCCGTACAGATATTTATGAAAATGATCAACTGCCTTCACAATTGCTAGCAGCTCCTTCCGGGTAACGCAGTAATTCCTTTCTGGTTTGGATAGAACTCGACTGTAATATTCTATCACTCGTTCTTCGCCATCTTGCACTTGTGATAGCACTGCACCTATGCCGATATTGCTGGCGTCGGTATCCAGGATATACCTCCCTTGTTGTTGCGGGTAGGCTAGAATAGGACTTGAACATAAAGCCGCCTTAAGTCTTCCAAAGGCTACATCACAATCGGTGTTCCATTCGTAGCCGACTTCATCACCTGTAAGTCTATGTAAGGGTGCAGCTATATTGGCAAATCCCTTGACAAATCTTCTGTAATAGGTGCATAAACCCAGAAAACTTCTAAGTTCATGTTTGTCGCGAGTTTAGGCCAATCCTTGATTGCAGCGATTTTCTTCTGATCGGTGTAAATTCCGTCTGCCGAAACTACATGACCCAAGAATTCCACTTGTCGCTGGAATAAGCTACACTTTTCGGGTTCAAGTACAGGTGCGCATTCCTTATGCGGCCGAAGACTTCTTCTAAATTTCGCAAATGCTCCTCAAAAGTTCTTCCCATAACCAATACATCGTCGAGGTAAACCAAGCACGTTTTCCAAGTTAATCCTCTTAACACCACCTCCATGAGACGTTCGAAAGTGGCTGGAGCATTGCATAATCCAAACGGCATGACCTTGAATTGGTATAGTCCGTTTCCTGTAGAAAAAACCATCTTTTCTTTGTCTTCCTCGTCCAGACCAACTTCCCAGTATCCACTCTTTAAGTCGAGAGTGGAGAACCAGCACAAACCTGCCAGAGTTGTTAATGTGTCATCTATACGTGGCAGTGGGTAGCTATCTTTCTTAGTGACGTCATTGAGCTTCCTATAATCCACGCAGAATCGTGTACTACCATCTTTCTTCGTCACCAAAACAACAGGAGATGACCATGGACTTGATGATTCTTCGATTACTCCATCTTCTAACATCTTATCTACCATTGTCTCCATTTCTTGTTGTTTGGAAAAGGGCACTCTTCTAGGACGTTGTCGAATCGGCTGAGCATGACCAGTATTAATCCGGTGCTTCACAAAATCCGTTCTTCCACTGTTGTTCTTCTCAAAAATACTGCCATGCTTTAGCAGGAACTGCTTGGCCTTCTGTTTCTCCTCAGGTGTTAGGTGATCCCATGGCTGTTCTAGATGTTTTAGTGTTTCTTGGGATGCCTTTTGTGTAACAGCTGACGACACTTCATCACATCGGGTGACACTTCTTACAGGTTCGCAGATGGCTATCTTGTCACCTTTTTGGATCTTGACACAATTCGGGAAAACATTCGCAATTCTGATCGGTATATTCTTGTCAGTGTTCACCAATGACTTTCCTACTAAGTACCTATCTTGTTTCTTGTCGCCACTTTGTACCAGTCCAACACAGCACCCAGCGATTTTCTCCACTTTACCGAATACGATCTTCTCGGTATTACCAGGTATCACCACAGTTTCCGCTGATCTTACATCCATTCTTCCTGGTCCCTCGTCTGGAGATAACATGAACTCTTCGTTTCCGATATTTAGGATATTTCCTTGGTGATCGAACGAAAATCCATGTTGACGAATCACATCCATGCCCAAGATGAAGTCATCTTCAATATCTGCCACTAAAACGCTATGCTGGAACTTCAAATTTCCTAACTTTAGTTCGACGATAGCCTCTCCCCGTACAACGGCCATTTCCCCCGTAACTGTACGTAAACACACTCTTCTTCTCAGAGGCATCAGCTTCAATCCTTGCACTGAGTTAGCCCGCACCAACGATACCATAGCGCCAGTGTCCACTGTCATTGGGATTCCCTTTCCATTGACTTTCCCGTCGATCACCAAACTGTCAGCGGTTCTTCCTAGACTTCTAATGGAAAAAATCCTGGGGGCTCTGTTCTCCCCAGTCAATACTTGCCCCTTAGTATTGACTGATTTTAGTTTTCCTGGTACCTACGTTTTCTGGATGGTGAACGGGATCGCATTTGAACGCGGCAATCCCGTTTGATGTGGCCATTCCTGCCACATCTATAGCACCTTATGTCCTGGGATCTTCTCTGGTTCTCTGTCTGGTTATTGTTGACTCCCTTGTTTATTAGTAGCTCACATAGTTCACGAATTTTCTACACATCTCCTCCAAACTTCTGTGGGTACTCTCGGGCTGTTCCTCTACCGTTACCGATCTTATCTTCGGTCTAGGGATGGCGCTAAAAGCAGCTTCGATTTCCAGCGCCCTGACCAGTGCTTCGCTGCTGGTAGAAAATCGGGATATTTGCAGCGCCCTCTGTAATTCGTTGTCCCTCAGTCCGCTGATAAAACACTGAGCAGCGAGTTCCTCCCTAAATCCTTCCGGTGCTTCAGGATACGCTAGGTGTACCAGCCGACGTAAGTCTGCTTCAAATTCCTGCAGACTCTCTCCGGACCTCTGCAGGCGTGTCTTGATCTGGGCCTGGTAAAGTTGGCATCGATGTTGGTCGCCATATCTTCTGTCCAGTGCAGCGACCAAAGTTTGGTATTCCTGCTGTTGGGCTGCAGGAATAGTTTGCAACAGTTCCAGGGCAGGGCCACGCAGCGCGATGACAAGTGCCGCTGCTTTCTCCTGCTCAGTCCATCCGTTGGCAGCGGCGGCTGCTTCAAACTGACGGTGGTACATTGTCCATGTCGTTTGTCCATCGTAGGTCGGGGCCTTAAGGTTCGCTGTTCCTTGAACGCCAGGTATCTTTACTTGTACCTTGGTCTTCTGTAGGTCCATCTCCAATCTTTCTATCTTCTGCTGAAGGCGCTCCTCCAGATCTTCTACAGCTTCTTGGAAGTGGTTCTGTTGTTCCTGGCAACGTACTTCCAACATTGATTGTTGCTTTTTTTCCATTTTTTCGAAACTTTTCTTGATACGGTCCTGCTCTTCAAGTTTTTCTTCTTGTCGACGCACTTCAAAACCTTGTAAAATTTTCTCGATCCGGTCCTGTTCCTCTTGTCTTTCTTTTTGATGACGCGCCTCTAAGCCTTCCAGAATTTTCTCAAGCCGGTCCTGTTCTTCTTGTTTTTCTTTCTTTTGACGCGCTTCTAAACCTTCTAAGATTTTTTCTTGATTTTCCATAAGTATTTTCAAAAGGTGGCATTGTTCCTCTTCTTTCTCTCTTTCTAATCGGGCTCGCTCTTCTTCTCGTTCTTTACGTAGCCTTTCTTGTTCTTCTGCCTTCTCTCTTCTCATATTTTCCATAAAATCGCCCAATAATTTGCTTACTTCCTCCATTTTCTTCGCTTGCTCCCTTGTACCAACCATAAAAATACTCTAATTCGGTCTAAAAATCTTCCAATCCACTTAATTTCTTCTTAAAATCCTCTTGAATCGCACTTCCGACACCAATTGTTACGGATTCCGTGGGTCCACTATTTAAACTCACGATAAAATACTTAACGAATTTATTTGTCTCACTCTGTACACACAACTTATACTATTTACAACACAACTTATGCAACTAGTATTACTCTAACGGTATTTCGCGGTATTATTCAAACTTCAGACTATCTTCAGACTTCAGACTTCAAACTTGTCCAACTGTCAAAGCGCGGGCCTTATATACCCCCTGGCGGTTGTTTCTAGATTTTTCTAAAGAATTTTATAATTTTCTTTACTTTCTGGCGAATGCGCCAGGTTCCTCAATGCACGTTGCGATTTTTTTAGCAGTATGCAGTTATGCAACCAGTAATACACCTTGACATTATTATGTAATATAATTTGTTTTAGTAGTTTTATTTTTGTTGTTCAATAAAAGTTTCTTTCTGTTTCCTAGAGATCCTTTTAGGTATGTATATATGTGATTAATTATTTTAACATATTTTAGTTGTGAAAAAAAAACAGTAGTATACATTTTAGGACATTCAGCTAAATAGGAATATCTAATTAAAAATCTTAACAAACTTTAATATTAGTTAGATTTACTTATATAATTATAATAATATAATATAATTATAAAAGTAAATAAAATGAGTATATCGAAAATAAGTTAACAATACATTTTGAAGATATAAATAAGGCCCACAAAAGGTACAAGTTGCGTTCTGTTCATTTTGAATTTAAAATGTTTACCAATTCACTTTGTAACTGTATAAAATACAATGCGGTACCTACTTTGTTTCCTGCCATGAAAAAAATAGAAGTTTCTCAAAAAAAATTGTGGATTTATTAATTTGTGAAATTTGAATATTAATAAAATTTGCTACGCCCATTGATGGGCATAATTTGTACGTAGCCTCTTTATATTGTTCAATAAATATTTTATTGGTATTTCTTTAATTCTTGTTTGTAACTCCTGGCATGTCTTTGTTAGTTGCGTGTTATTTAATTTTAATTGTCTATTCTCTACAGTGAAATATTTAATTGATTTTTTCATTTTTACTTTTCGAGAAGTATGCGCGGTTAACGATTCATTTGTTTGGACAAAAGTATTGTGTAAATAAAATTCAGTTTCAGTCAATTACAGTATTTTTTTAATACCACCCTGTCGTATTTTCTGAGAAATTTTTTGATACGTTTTAATCCGGCCCTGACTAGGAAACGATAATGGCGCTGTCAAGGTCAAATTTTATAGAAATTTTAAACAATGGAATCTGAGCAGAGTTGGCGTGCCGATTGTTTTATGTGCCGTGGTTCTACTGTCAATTTATGAATAGATTTCATTAGTGGCGGCACTACAAATTCTAACCTGTTAATTAAAATATAACCTCAAACATAACCGAGAACATAACTTAATATTTTGTATTTTTGTTCTAGGGACCATGCCTGACGATGGTGTACCTGACATGACCAGACTGACCGTCCTAGATGAGGCAATTATCAACAAGAATTTAAAAGTTCGCTACAAAAATGACAAAATATACGTATCCTTTTATAATAAATATAAATTATTGGTGGTTGCGCTCAAAATAATATATCAAAGGAAAAAAAATATTTTTTGTGTATGACCGCATATACCCAAAATATATTTTTTCTATTGTAAAACAAAAATAGTGTTTTTTTATATAATAAAACTCTATATTTCGTAAAGATTTGTTCACTTCTCCTGATAATGTGAATAATAATGCTAGATAATTAAAAACATGCATATTCACATCCGAGTTCACATCTCAACAGACATACTAAAACTGATTTCTAACCTAACGTCATAAAATTTACAGAATTGCACGGCTTTCAAAATTCGTCGACCGGGACTTTTCAGGCGGATTGTGTACCTTTTGGGGAATTGTTTTAGGGGAAAAACACCGTGCTCGTCCCTAAAAATGACCCCAAAATGGCCGAAAAATCATTTTTTCGTAAATATCTGCCAAACTATGCAATTTACAAAACAAATCAAGCTTAGAAAATTACCTACAAAAATGGTCCCTATCATTTTTTACGTAGAATTAGTAGTTTTCGAGATATTACGCCTCGAAGATCCCTGAATTTCCTCTCCAAGTCTTAAGTTCATAAGCGTATTATTGATTATGATTGATAGGACAAATTGTTTAATAACTCGGCTAAAATTTAATATTTTTTGATGATTCAAAGATCATTTAAAAGGTAGAATCAACAGCTATCACATTTTGAAACTTGTTTTATTTTTGTCGTATTTTATGATAATAAAAAAACCGTGCAAACCCAATCCTTGGCCAAAAAATTTTCATATTGTTACAAACTTCGTATTTTCACTAATAATTTTTTTGTATGCGAATGCCAGATATCACAAGCATTGTCATACACAATTTTATAAATCATGTTTCATAGCCCCTAGGACATCAAGGGGCGTAGGACGGCCCTTGGATGCTGATATTTCAGACCAAATGTTGAAGGTAGTCCATTATATCCTGGAAAATAGACAAGAACAATATATGTACTCTGAAAGAGGAAGGTATTGCAGGTGATTTTGAACTTTTTTATTTCCAACTCCTCATTGATGTTTGTTGCTTATAAAATTACTAGCGTGTAATTCGTTCGCGTCGAATTAATCATTTGTAATGGTGATGATAAGGCAAAGCAAGAATTTCCTCTACACCCCACAGTCAATCCGTTTGCCAAAAATCTGCTTTAAACGTCAAGCAGTTTAAGCAGAATCGTGATTACTCAATGATCATATTTTATGAAACACCCTGTATAAATTTATTAAAAATCTTAAAATATGTAAAACAACAAAATAAAATATACGTGGTTAAGAGTTTTTCCGAAAAACTCACCGGTTTTTAAATAAAAAATATTTTTATATTTGAGGGATAGTTTCACCCCCTTAGCATTCGAGTTTCGAAAAATCCCTTCTTATCGAACCTCTACACCCTAAAGTCAATCTGTTTTCCAAAAATCAGCTTTTTACGTCAAACGCTTTAAGCAGGATCGTGATTAATCAGTGACCAGCTTTTTCGAAACACCCTGTATACATTTTTAAAAAATCTTAAAATATGTAAAAAAACAAAATAAAATATACGTGTGTGTTTAAGCGTTTTTTCGGAAACTTGACCGTTTTTTAAATAAAAAATACTGTAATATTTGAGGGGTGGTTTCACCCTCTTGGAACTGGAATTTCGAAAAATCCCTTCTTATTGAACCTCTACACCCTAGAATTAACCTGTATGTCAAAATTGAGCTTCTTACGTTGAGTGGTTTGAGCAGGATCGTGATTAATCAGTATGTCAGTGACTTAAGGAATTTATATATTAGTATAGATATAGATTATGTAATCTTTAGTATACGATACTTTCTGGAAATTCCAAAACAGCAGAAAAAGCCTCTCACAAATAGTTGTTTTTTATTAAAATATGATTAAACAAATTCTTCAACCTTTCTGAGTTACTTAAAGAGACTCTAAGAACAACTCTCGGAACAACTGTTAAAAAAAACTTGACAAATAAGCTATTATTAGTGAAAATATGAATAAGTTTGTAAAAATCTGAAAATTTTTGGGCCAAGGAAATTATTATGATAAAATATGACAAAATTCAAACAAGCTGTTGATTCTACCTTTTAAATGAACTTTGAATCATAAAAAAAATATTAAATTTTAGTCGAGTTACTAAACAATTTGTCCTATCAATCAATGATACGCTTATGAAATCTCCAAGAATCGAAATTCAGGGATCTTCGAGGCGTAATATCTGGAAAACTATAATTCTACGTAAAAACTTAAAGGGCCATTTTTGTAGGTAATTGCCTAAGTTAAATTTTTTATTTCAAGAAAAGTTTGAGGCCGAGCACGGTGTTCCCATTTTTCCCTAAAAAGTCAAAACAACAATAGGTACACAATTCGCCTAAAAAGTCATGGTCGATGAATTACGCCTAGATTTGGGTCTTTTCGTGTCCTTATTTACTGGACTAAACGTACAGATCAACATTTCACATATTGGCTCATTTTTAACTCATTTAGTTAGACTATGTAACCGTTTAGACAAAGTAGTAGACCCCATATTGACTGCCAGCACGCTGTATATAATTTAACCTCCGGCAACATTTATCGATACTTTTAATCGTTTCATTATAACAAAGGAATATATAAATTCCTCACTATAGTTGGACAGTTCCATTATTATCCCAAGCGTTTACCGTAGTAAATATACCATTAAATTCCGATCATTTTGTAGTTATTGATAAGAAAGCAATTACCAGAAACTAATGGAGTCCAATGAGCTATAAATGCGATCCTATTCGATTCCTCCATTTATTACGTCGATGATTTGGCGTTAGCCGCCGATGAGATAATGATCGAAACGTTGGATTCAAAAGAAAGTTTAGTTTATTGTCCCGCTTGGTGCGACCGAGGCCTCCAAATTGTGATTACTTGCTAAATGACTAGTAAATTCGTATGCTGATGCACTATACAACACTAATGCTTAAATTAGTGGCAGCACCTGGTGCTTAAGAGATAGAGTTTCATGAATTTTAAAAATTATTTTTTAAATCGTTATCCGCTGTTTAGGCCATATATTATGGTTCGGAGCTGCAACAAGTCAATTTTAAAAAGATTTAAGTCTTAAGTCATTTCTAAAATCAAAATGATTTAAATCTTAAGTCAAATTCAACATATTATTGTTCAAATAATTTAAGATATTAAGAATGCGTTTTCCTCAAAATGTCAATAATAAAAAAGTTTTTCCTCTTGTAAACAAATCCGGGGACATACTGTAAATCTAGCCAAAGGAAACATATTTTCTTTTTACCTTTTTAAAATAAATGAATAAGTTAAATATAATATTATTAATAATATAACTAATAATAACCGAGTTATTTAACTTTGAAAATTAAAAAAAATTAATGGTAACATTTTGAGAGCCGCCGGCAGTAATCCATAATCAGCCCCAAATACCAAGCAATTACCCGGATCTTCAAACCAAAAACGACTTGGAAAATTCAGATCACGAATATAAAACTTACCATTTTTATTTAACATTAGAAAACGGGACTTCGATTAGATAGTTGATTCGATGTAATTAGTCGTTTTACCTAAAACCGCATCTCTACACTTAATACTTCATTTCATTTCACTGCGAAGTAGATTCCAAGCGGCAGTCAAAAATTTCCGGTTTTAGCAACATTTTTATTTTTAAAAGATAGAATTTTCAAAATTTTTTTTTGGCAAAAAAAACTTGTTTATGAGATCGAACTATACTACCTGTTAAAATACCTGCATTTATTTCTGGAACACCCTGCATTCTTATGAAACCTATAGACTGACAATTTGATTGCATTTTTATGTACGCAGTTTCATAAAAATGTAACGGTTTCAATTATTCTGCAACTAAATAATCGAATAAAAAAATAATCGCATAGCCTGAGCAAATTCGATATTACGGGAAATATGTTTAAATTCGTAAATAGTTTCTTGAGCGATAGATTCTTTAAGGTTCGAATTGGGCATGCAGTCTCTGAGATCTTCCCACACAATGGAGGAATCCTACAGGGTTCGTCTATTAGCCCGACGTTATTTCTTCTTACTGTGAACGATATCAGATCATCATTGGATAAACGGGTTTGGAACTCAGAATGTTCGCGGATGATATCGTAATATATCATTCCTCTACGGAAGCAGGATACAGTCAGAACATTATACAAACTTCACTAAATGAACTTACAAAATGGTGTACGGTGTAATGTTATCCTTTTCTGCTTCCAAATCGGCTGCAGTTCATTTCTGCCGCCAAAGAAACTGCTCGAAGGCCGTTAACCTATATATTGGCTCTGATCGAATAAACTCCCAGCACGAACAAACGATTTCTTGGCATTACCTTTGACACACTTCTCAATTTCAAACCCCATATGAGCAACTTAATCTTTAAATGCCAAACTAATCTTAACATTATTAAAATTCTATCTGGCACCACCTGGGGTCAGACCATATTTCTCTTTTGCGAGTGTACAATGCTTGTGTCTTATCCAAAATCAATTACCGGTCCCAAGTTTATGCGTCTGCACCGCGGTCTTATTTAAATAAGCTGAACGCGGTACATAACATGGGAATCAGGAAATCACTGTGAGCTTTTCACACGAGTCCCATACCAAGCTTAATGTGTGAATCAGAACAACTCACACTAAATTATATTAGAGAACGACACCTATTAGCATATGCGTTTGGTCTACATGTCAATCCGGAAGACCCTAATCACAAAAAATTCTTCAAAAGTGTTTACCCCCAAATCAAACATTGATACAAACAGTATCAATCAGCATCACACCACCGTTATGTAGATATAAAGGAAAGACTGTCAATCGATTTGCCTCCTCCTTTCACTATTGTGCCATTCTCGTGTATGTTTCCCCCATAGAGTCTGCACCCACTCTCGCTTGACCTATCACTCAAAGTCCACAACAAAAAGGAATGCTCACATCTCACTATAAGAGCATTTCAAAGTGCAAAGCATTC